TAGTCACGCACGTGAATTGTGACAAAGGCTGTGGTGACCTCGGGGTGGACTGCCTTGTCCCTTGCCTGCACCACCAGCTCATGCACCTTCCGTACTTCATAGTCCAGACCTTTGTTGAGCTTGATGACTCCAGTCCGGGAGTCGATGGTGAAGTACTGGTCAGGATCGCTCTGCCGCCGGTTGATCTCATAAACCACGTCCCCATTGTCACCTTCATCCGCGTCAGAGGCGAAGACCTGCAGGATGCTGCTGCCAGGTTTCAGATTCTCCGAGATGAGAGTGTGGTAGCGGCTCTGGTTGAAGGTAGGAGCGTTGTCATTGATGTCCTGAATGGACACATCCAGCGTCATCTGGGTGCTCCGGGGGGGAGAGCCACCGTCATAGGCTTCCAGCAGCAGCGAGTAGGATGAGCGGTTCTCCCGATCCAAGACGTTGCTGACCACCAGGTCCAAGTACAGGACGCCATTGGGCCCTCGGCGTGTTTCCAGACGGAAGGCCTGCCCCACGTTCTCGCCCTTAATGACGTAGCCTTGTGTATTGAGTAGGCCGCTGTCGGCATCGAAGGCTGGGTCCAGGGGAAATCTGCTGCCAATGGGGGTGTGCTCGGGGATCTGGAAGGTGCGGTGCTGTTTGGGAAAGGCTGGAGCATGGTCATTAATGTCGTTCACTTGGATGTTCACTTCCACCGTGACGCCCTCCGGGGTAACAGCAATGAAGCTGTAGTGGTCCCGAGTCTCTCGGTCCAGGACACGAGCTGTTTTGATGATACCGGTGTTCTCATCTATCCCCAGGTCAGTGGTAACACCGCTGCTCTCCTGAGCAGAGATGAAATACATGTAGGCACTGGTTCCCAGGGGCAGGCCAGCACTGATGTCCCCAATGATGGTGCCAGCTGGCTGCTCCTCATCTATTTGTAGATCCAGGGTGCCCAGGACGGTGGAGCCCTTCCCTGCTCTCAGGCCCCCAAGAATCAGCAGCTCCAGCAGAAGCACGGCTGACCCCTTCATCTGCTCCATTGCCAGTGACTCGCAGAGCAGAGGGTGGCTCGGTCTCCCTCGCAGCGTGTGCTCTAATCCTGCATGGAATGCAGACCAGAGGATGCTGGTTAAGAGGGAGCAAGGACTGTGGGAGGAAGAGGAGCTGTAAGGGACCTGGGGCTGAAGCAGAGGTGGGGGAAAAGGGGCAGCTGTGAGGAGGCTGGGGATCATCCTGGAGGAAGGAGGGAGCTGTGCGAGGGGCTGGGGGGAGGAGCAGAGCATGGGGGGAGAGGAGCGAGGGGCTGGGGCCTCTCGGCTGCAGTGGAAAAGCTGCTGCAGCTCCAGGGGAAATGCTACTTGAATTAATCATGGCGCTGGCTGCTGTGCCAAGCCCAGGAGGAGGCTGCTGGCAGCGCAAGGAAATAACTTTCACAGGAATTTGGAACAAATGCAGCTCTTCTGGCCGTAACAACAGCACTCACCTCCCCCACAACCTCCCCATGTACCCGCATCTTCCCCGTGTCCCCACTCCTCGGTACCCCCAGGCTCTCCCCCGTTCCAGCCGCTGCCCCCCTCACGCTGCTCCCCAGCAGGCCCACGGCGTCGCCCCATCGCGCCTCGGGAAGCTCGCCTTCTCCTTTCCGAGGAGGGGGAGGCCTGCTTTATGTCACGCAAAGCCCTGAAAATAGGTTAATGCTAAATCCCTCGTCCCAAGAAAACGAGTGCACGTAGTTATGTCTTCCCCACGTCCCGCAGCAGTGCGGGCGAGCGCTGGTCCCAGTCCCCGTGCACGGCCACTCCCCGTGTCCTCTCACCGCTGCCCCCTTCAGTACCACATCCCAGGCATCAGGGTCACCGTCAAGACTCAGCAGTACAGTCTGTGTGGCCTGGTCCGGCCTGCGGCACTTCACACAGCTCCTCCTATCCGGGGCACAGCCCCAGAGCCCGTCCGGGTGCCGCACAGACAGTCCCACAGAACAACACACCAGCACCCAGACCTCAAAACTCACCAGGTTTGCCCTCAAAACCGCAAGGTAAGGCTATACCTTACGTGTGGTGTGTTGACGGTCAGTTTTTGATTTCCCCAACAATTGCGTGGATGGATGCAAAGGGAATATGCAAACCCTGGTTCCAAAATCATTAATATCGGGTCTGTGCAAGTATCCATAATCTACCATCTCATCTCATCTCATCTCTCATTCACTGTTCTGTCAAACCAGCCTGTGCTCACAACATGGGGTTTGCGCAGCTCTCCGTGCTTTATGCTGGCTGCCAAAGGACAGACAATACTTGATTTAGCATGAGAAGTCAGAAAGGCCCAGAAAGACAATATCTGACCATGCATGCAGCTTGCTGGTACAAAGTCAAATGTTTAAAACAAATTTAAGCCAGCAGGGTGAATTTATACCAGAACAGTGCTTCCCATCGTGTAACCATAGCATCTGAATGTCGTCTGATGAGCCCTAAAGCTGCTCTATTATCAACTCATGGCCACGGAGAGAAACAGAGACAGCCAGTCAGCGACTAGCCCTTGCTCTATTTTCTGCTGGTGTCGTTCCCTGATTCCCTGGGCTCTTCTCCACGGGTGTTTCTCTCTCATCTCAGACTTGAACTGTGAGTTTGCTATTTCCTTTGCTTATTGCTTGTGCAGAGCCTGCTACTGTGGGACCCGGCCCATGATAAACACGAGTAATAAATAAAGAAGATGTTATGAGATCCTTTTTCTTTCCTTGGAGCTCAGGCCAGCAACCTGCTCTGCTTGTCTGTGCGTACACCAAACACAAAGACCGACCTGGCAGAGACGATGGGGTGTTGTACAAGGAAGCAGGAGACCTGCAGCTGTTCTTCAAGTCTCTCCTGGTCACTCACACAGACTCGCCTCCTCCCCGTCATTCCGCCCTGCCCACGGAGAGCAGAATTCGCCATCTGACAACAGACCTGGCCCTCCCAGGGCTTTCTGCTTCGAGACATGCCAGTCCAATGGAGAATTGAGCCCACTGGGTTCTGTCCTGACCTTGGGGTCTGTCCTGTGTCCATCACACGGGCAGGGTCTGCCTGTGGCACGAGCTCTCGTGACAGCTACACGGGTCTGGACCAAATCCAGACCTTGGCAGAGAGCCTGTAACCTCCCACGGCAGGATGAGCCCTGATGCCTATAAGCCATGGGTAGAGGGGTCAGGTGGGACACGGTGCTGGCCTCCGAGGGCCCTGCCAGCGCCTCTGAAACCCTCCGGCGTGGGCAACAGGGCTGCGGGGGCTGTGGGGTGGCCACACCAGGCAGCTGCGCCCCGAGACCCGGGCTGCCCGCCCCGGCGCTGCCCAGCTCCTCGACCTGGCTCGCTCCTGCCGCGGCCCAGTGCCGAGCCGGCAGCCTGGCCAGCCTCCTTTCCCATCCTCTCACGTTTCCCGGCTCAGAGGAAGCAGCAGCAGATGTGTGAGCTGTTTGCTTTGTGCCGAGGCCACGCGGGAGTTACCTGCGCTCAGCCCAGACGCGCCGTTTCCAAACGAAACACGAGCGCTGAGCCAAGACCATCGAAATCTGGCCAGAGCCTCAGTCGCTGCCGGCCGCTGGGCCAGCACCTTCCCCTGCGCAGCGCGGGGCCGGGCTGGACCCTGCCCCGCTCCGGCCTCGCTGCGGCCGGGCAGT